CCCCCCCCCCCCTAAAAAATTTAAAATACTATGGTCTTTAGGTAATTGCCCCCAAAAAATAGTAAAGAGAATTCATCATTGAATTCCAAAAATATTCTTGAAACCAAAATTTGTTCCGGGAGCACTACCACCGGAAACCCCCGCAGGGGTGCTGCCCCTTTACCTGCCCGGTCAGGTCAAACCCCGCCAGGGGGCGCTGTCCAAGGGCGCTGCCCCCTTGGACCCCCGACATATATGCTTTATAAGTTTGACCCCCCTAAAAATTTGGACTGATTCCGCCCCTGTAGATATGTTTATTTATTCGTAACAATAAGAATATTTAATAATGCGGAGTGATGACCGTTCAAAACCAAGTGCAGGTTCAACGAGTCAAGTAGAAATTAGCGGTCAAGAAAATTTACCAAAGTCCATTAAAGTCCATGAGTTAGGCTTCGTATCACCAGAAGCAATCTTCCTAAATTGCTTCTCAGCAATGTCTCTAATCCGGGACCTACAAATGGAAGATAGAGAAGTTCAGAACAATCAATCCTTTTTTTGTTTAATTTGTTTGAGAAAGCAAGATTTGATTCAAATGCGATAATTGATACCCTATGGCGTCAATTTGGGGGCGTGAAAAGGCCGTGACAATGATGAAAAAACGTGTCCAATAAACTAGTGGTTTCACAAAAAGGATACGGATATCCGCAGCCTTTACATCATTAGCAACTTTGGCTAAGGTAACAGCAACTGCAAGAAGAAAAAGTCAAAGTATATAAACAAAGAAAAATTAGCAAGTCAATGAGAGTAGATCATTTTTACATACTAAGAAATGCTCATAACCAGCTGCAACGTTTCTGCAAAGTCACAAATTTGTCTCTTTTGATGGTGAAGAAGAGTGAAAATCCTGGAATTCTACAGCGTGCCCAACAATGCAATCCTATATCAATAGTATTAAGGCTTGAGTAGTCAACGGTATGGGGAGAGATGCGGTCGAATCATTGCTTATTGGAAAGGTATAAAGTATCCTGAGGCTGTTAAGAACAATGGTTCAGGTTAAAAAATAAATAAAGTTTCCATATTACTTCCAAGCTTGTTAGAGGTAGGAGAAAATATTAGATCATGGAGATGAACAGTGGCAGCAATGCTGAGCAGTAGCGGTGGCAGGGATGCTCATGTGAAATAGGAGAAGTTCTGCCTCCTATACGCTCGATCTGACCGCCCAGGTCTGACAGAGCTGCTTAGGAAGGTTTTTGAAGGGAGTTAGGAGGGAAATTTCAAAGTATGACTGCTTAGAGATTTCCTTTTGGATTGTATGCGTTAAATAGTTTGTTTTCTTAGGGTTAGGGCATCTTGAATTTGGCTGAAATTTGAGATCTCTTAGATTTTTGGGCTCTAGTGACGTCTGGAGATTTGGGAGAGATGGATCATCCTCTCGAATGGAGGATCAACTGTATCTTGGCATTTTTCTTCCGTTCTATTTGATTCTCGTAATAAAATTATTGTTTTCCCTGATTTTTTTTTTGGAGTTTGAAGGAAGGTTTTCACGGTTTTATCAAAGATTGATAGAGATTCTTGATAACTTCAAGTGTTTCCTATCAAATTTGTATTAGAGCAGATTTTGGGATTGTTTAGGGAATTTTTTCTAAGAAAATCAGCGGTTGGTTGTTAGCCGGAAGGGGGCTTTTTTGCTATTTTTTGGAATCGAGATTCGGATTTTTAGTCCAAGAAAAATACGGGTATCCATGGCAGCCAATAAAGTGGATTCGTTGAAGGAACGCCTTGAAGGGGAGATTGGACAAATGAAATCTGAAATTTTAGATCTACAAACTCAAGTTTCAGATTGAAAGAAAGAAATTTCAGTCATTCATGATAAGATAGATTCAAATTTTACCATTCTAGGGGAGATGTTGAAGAAAGTGCTTGAGGGCCAAAACAAAAAAAAAATGTCGTCGGAGGTGAGGGAAGTTACCGACAACCATGGAGTGGAGAAAACCCTAACCCAATCAGACGAAGGGGGGATAAGGAGGTGAAGATTTCAGAAGGAGCAGAAAAAAAAGCCTCCCCTATGGCCTATTCCCAAGGAGGAGTCCAATAGAGAGTATGTGGACAAGGTGGGTCTTTGGGGGTGAGTATTGTTAGACCGGTCCAGTCGGTCCTATAGTACTAGCCCATACGAAATAGACGGAGAAGTTCCGCCTCCTTTAAGCCCGTTCCGACCGCCCATATCTAACAGAGCTGCTTAGGAAGGTTTTTGAAGCAAGTTAGAAAGGAAATTTCAAAGTATGGGTTGTTTAGAAATTTCCTTTTGTATTGTATGCATTAAATGATTTGTTTTCTTAGGAGTAGGGCATCTTGAATTTGGCTAAAATTTGAGATCTCTTAGGTTTTTGGGCTCTAGTAGTGTCTAGAGATTTGAGAGAGATCCTCCTCTCAAATTTCTTCTGTTCTATTTGATTCTTGCAATTAAATTACTATTTTCCTTGTTTTCATTGGAGTTTGGAGGAAGGTTTTTGCGATTTTATCAAAGATTGATAGGGATTTTTTATTACTTCAAGTGTTTCCTATCAGTATAAAGCATCCTGAGGCTATTGAGAACAATGGTTCAGGTAAATAAACAAAATAAAGTTTCCATATTACTTCCAAGCTTATTAGAGGTAGGAGAAAATATGAGATCACAGAGAGGAGCAGTGGCAGCAATGCTGCGTAGTAAGGGTGGCAGGGATGTTCGTCCTTCAGAGGGAGTGAAGAGGGAATATTCTTTTCCAGCAGGTTATTCTTTCCAAGTTAGAGCGGAGGGCTTTGAGAGGTTAGGAAGTTAGTATTCCAAAGGGCTACAAGAGATCTCATATGAGGAGAAATGATGGAGCCTGTTGAAAAAGCGAAATTTTTTTATCAAAGCATCTTAAAATAAATTCACATCAAGAAGGCTTTCTTAAACGATGTGTCCTAATCTAAAAGTACAATAAAAAAATTGGAAGACATCAGCTACGAAAATAGAAGATAAAAATCCATTTTCAGAAGATATATCCGAACTTTAAAAAATAGACTTTTGCTAAGAAAATAAAAGGCATAATTTCATTTACAGAAGACACGAATGTAGTCACGAAGTCATGATCAGGCGTCTTGTGTTGTATTTGGTTGATCTATCATGCCATTTTGATAAACTACAAAAATGAGAAAGAGATAAACTACAAAAATGAGAAAGAACATGCTCAACATCTAAGGTTAGTGTTGAATATTCTCTACAAGAATATGTGGAAATTCACTAAATGTGAGTTTTATCTTTGAGAGGTAGCTTTTCTAGGGCATATGATCAAACAAGCTTGAATTTTTTTGGCCTGGTATAACACAAGATTTATTGGAGCCATCTCTAGCATTGATGAACCTTCAACAAAGTTGACTCATAAATCTATGAAGTTTGTGAAGTCAGGTTCATACATCAGATTCATGAGCAAAATTTTTAAATGATACAAAAATTGCTAAGTTTCAGCTCATATTATCACTATTCTTTTAGACACTAATGGATTTCAAATCTATAGGATGCTTTATATTAGAACTTGTCTTCTAATGTAACACATTAGAGTAGGGGCCTAAGCATCTAGAGCGTTCAAAGAACGTGAAAAAAACTATCATATTCATGGCTTAGAGCTAAGCATAGCTATTTTCTATTTGAACAAGTGGAGACTCTATCTTTATATAATTCAATGTGAAGTTTGCATAGATCATGGAAGGGTTTAAAGTATATTTCTACTCAAAATGAGTTGAATTTAAGGAAGATTTGATGGTTTAAGCTGATGAAGGAATATGACTTGCAAATCTAGCACCACCCAAGCAAGATTAACAAAGTTGCAGATACTTTAAACAAGAATTCTTCAACCTATGTTGTCTGGATTGATACTTGATGTTTGGATTAGAGCTATTCCATCTTGAAATAATGTCTAAGAGATAGGCCTATAGTATATCATCTGACTACTCTATCAACAATTTTATATCAAATTCGTGCAATTTTAATGAAAAATGTTTAATCAACTTAAACATCAAGTTCAAAAGGGGATGACGCTCAAGTTTGTCATTGATGCTACATGTGCATTGAGATTTGAAGATCCACTATGTGGTCCACATCAGCCAAGGCTTCAACAAGGGCTATTTTAAGAAGTGCATGCCACTCCATATTTTGTTCACCTAGGGAGTATCAATATGCATCAAGATTTAAAGGAGCTTTTCTGGAGGCATTTTATGAAGAAAGACATTGTAGATTTTGTAGCCAAGTGTTTCATCTGTCAACTTGTCAAAGTTGAACACCCACAAACTAATGGGACGTTGCAACCTATTGCAATTTCAGTGAAAGTGGGAGGGCATCATCACAGATTTTGTAGTTAACCTACCAAGTTTTAGACAAGGCCATGATACAATTTGGATGTTAGTTGACAAACTAATGAAGACAATGTCATTTTCTACCCCTTTCAAGCAGAATTATTAAAGGGTCATGCTAGCAAGGATCTATATGAACAACATCATTCAACTGTATGGAATGCCTAACATCATTCTAGTTGGTCGAGATGAAAAATTTATTTCCAAGCTATAGTGCAAAATACTCAAAGACAGGCTAAACTTCAGCATAGCTATTCACCATAAGATGAATGGTTACTTGGATCATACTATATAGACTTTGGAGGATTTGAAAAGAGGTTGAGTTCTTGATTTTAGAGAGAATTGGAAGGATTACTATAAGAACTGAGAATGCTTAGAATTTTTCATGACAGTTTATCCTAATAGGAAAGGCTCGCCTAACTTGGATATGAATACGAAGGGCGGGTCGCATTAAGCTTGGATACTAAGTGTTTGACCAATCTTATCGAACTAAACACAAGTTATTTCAATAATATAGTTAAAAAATGATTATACAAAGTGGTGAAACTTGGACTGAGATGTTGTGGTTGGTATATACAGTATTTGATGTTATGCATCACAATTAGAATAAAAAATTCTACCTAACAACTTCCAATTCTACCTCTCACCCAGAGATGATGTATTCGATTAATCCTAAGGCTTATTTTTCACCAAACTTTTTGTAGTAGGTGCCTCCATCATATACTTGGATATGACGATTAGTATTGACTGTTTGCATAAGAAGAATGCATCTGCGAGGATGGGACTGGTGAAAGCGTTGGCAAAGATCTGCGAGTTGCTGCATTTCTTTGATAGACTACTACGTTCCCTATGTCCAACTTGCAAGAGAATGGAGACATGAGAATTGCATGAGATGAGTTGCCACACATGTATATTTGGCTCGAAGATAGCTATGTCACAATCTTATCATGGATTCAGAAAAATGAAACCGAGACTACATTTACTGCAAGTCCCCTTCTTCTTTTACTTGATAACCCGGCAGCAATAGGAGGTACAGATGTTATCGAATTTTAACATAAGTAAAGTAACTTACAGGACAAGCTTTCAGAAGTAAAGAAGCTTACAGGACAAGCTTTCAGCATCGTCGTCAGCCTCCCCACTGGGAGACATTTGATCGCCTCTCTTGTAAACCACCTTACCATACTTGTTCAACAAATCATCAAACACATCGTCGTCCTCATCACCATTGGTGCGCTAGAACAATAAGAAGAAACTAGATTCATCCAAGGATCAGCAATTAACAACAGAAAATAATAGAAGATTAGAAATAATTCATACATGGTTCGTCTGCCTCTGGCATAGCAAAACCTGAAGACCATAACGCGGCCGCCGCTGCGAGTTCACGCAGGCTACTGAGCGACTAGACCTAGATTTCATAGTTAAACATGTCTCCTTGGCCGGCCAGCGGAGATGGCCAAAAGAAGGAATTGCCGCCACCGCCATCAAGGCCTGCATTGTACGCCTGTTGCTAAGCACCGAGGAGAGGGAGATATTTCTGTAACGAGGGTCGCCGAGGATAAGGACGCGGAGATGGCAGCTGAGACATCTTCGCACGTGACATCTATTTCGCATGTCAAATTATTAAGTGTGATTTTATTAATATGCGACATGTTATTATTTTACGGTATATCATTGCTTGCAAAATGAATTAACAAAGTATTTTATACTGGCGGAATCAGTTTTAATTTTGAGGGGATAAACACAGCATAAAAATAATTAAATTTAAAAAAAATAATATTATATATCTATATATTACGAAAAAAAAAATTAAAATTAAGCAAAAAAAATAAAGAAAAAAATGTGTAATTAAACTGTCATAAAAATCATAAAAGATAATATTAGGACAAAGAGTTTTTTAGGGGGGCAAAAAATAAATTTTTAGAAGGGGCAAAATTTTTTTTTTACTCTCCTGTTTTTTTTTTTTTTTTTTGGCGGGCATGCCCCCCCCTAAGAACCATGTGGTTCCGCCCATGTTTGTACTTAATTATTATTTAAAATAAATGAGTTAAGAGAGGATATTATAAATAATTAGAAATGTAAATTTAAAGAATTAAGAAAGTAGAATAGAAGAAGCTAGTAATAAATAATAATAAATTAAGATAATAGATTATAATTAATTAGCAATAAAAATAAATGAATTAAGAGGGGAGATTATTATTGCGGGCTAGAATATACGCTGCGATATATTTATACTGCGTCTTAATATTGTACAGATATCCAACTCACACATAGAAAACACAAGATTTTTTATGTGAAAAATCCTAGAAAAGAAAAAAAATCACGAAGTCTAGCCTAGTTGAAAATGATTCCACTAGAGTTTGAATTGAGTATAGTGGGTTGGCTCATCCTTGAGAGCGATCAGATTACAAATGTTAGCCGTATGGTTGTAGTCTAGTGACAAATGGGGATGAAAGTTCAGCGTCACTTGGTGGTCCAACGGAAGTCCCGACATTAGTCGGTGATCTGGTTGAAGTCTAGTGTTAGGCGAAAGTTCGGGTGACAGTTGGTGGTCTGGCAGAATTTTGGGCGTCAGGTGATGGTCTCGTGGAACTCTGGCTTCAGGTGGTGGTCCGACATAACTCCGGGCGTCAGGTGGGGGTTTGGTGGAGCTCCGATGTCAGGTGGAGGTCCGGCGAATCTCCAGCGTCGGTTGGTGGTCCGATAAAACTCTGGGCGTCATGTGGTGGTCCAATAGAACTTTGGGCATCAGGTGGTGGTCCAATGGAACTCCAGACGTGGATGATGGTCTGGCAAAACTCCGGTGTCAAATGGTGGTCCGATGTAACTCTGATAATCAGGTGGTGGTCCGGCGGAACTCTGGGCATTAGGTAGTGGTCCAACGAAAGTCCATACTATAACATTCTTCCCTCCTTACAAAAAATTCATCATTGATATTTTTAAATATAAATTCTTATAACATGTTTGGATACAACGACCTCATCTTTGATTCTTTCTTCTAGGTGGCTCCTTGCTTAGACCTATGTTTCCATTAAACATTGATCATAGGAATTTGTTTATTCCTTAGCTACTTGATATTAAAAGCAAGGATATGTTATTGTTCTTCTTTATATGTTAGATTCAGTTGAACCTCCACTTTTTCTTTCAAAATTTTGTACTCTAATTTAGATACCCACTTTATCATAATAGAAATATATTAAACATTATGAATATCATACATATTATTAGGTAGCATTAATATGTAAGTAGACTTTCCTACTTTTCTCAATAATTTTGAAGGTGCCAATAAATATTGGGCGAAATTTGTTGTTTCCCCAAATATACTAACCTATTTTATTTGGATGAACTTTAAGAGAACAAAATCACCAATTTGAAATTTGACAAATTTATGCTTTAGAACATATTATTTCCTCTTTAGATCTTGTGCTGCTTCCAATCTCTTCCTTATCAACATTATTTTCTCATGAACTAATTCAGGTCCAATTAATCTTTTCTCTCCCACCTTAGTCCAAGATAATATAATGTTACATCTTCTATCATACAAAGCCTCATATGGAACCATTCCAATACTTCATTAAAAAGTATTATTATAAGCAAATTCAATCAATGGAATGTAATTTTCCTAACTTTCTCAAAAATTCAAAACACATAATCTTAGTAAATCTTCCATAATCTTGATAAACCTTTTATACATTCCATCTATTTGAGGATGAAAAGCTATAACAAAACTCAACTATGACCCAAATCTTCTTGATTTTCTTTCCATAATTTAAAAGTGAACCTGCCATCATGAACAAAAATAATCACCTTAGGAACATCATGCAGTCTAACAATTTCTTTTACATATAGTCATGCTAGCTTATCGTCCAAGTTAGTTTTCCTTATAGGTAGAAAATTAGTAGACTTGGTCAAGCAATCCACAATCACTCTGACAACATCTTAGCCCTACCTTGATCTTGAAAAACCAATCATAATTTCCTCACCTTTCCACACCAGAATGGGCAAAGGTTTCAATAATCCACTGGGTCTTTGATGTTTATCTTTCTCTATTTGGCATGATGTACACCTATTTACAAATTCTACTATACTTCACTTCATCTCAAGCCACTAAAATAATAACTTCAAGACCAAATATATTTTACTACTGCCTTCATGCATAGAGTATTTAGAATAGTGGGCTTCCTGCATAATATCTTTCCTCAAACAACATCCTACAAACCCATAAGTTGCTACATAAAAATCAAACCCTAGTCATTTACTTATAATTCAGGTTTCATTATAGAATAAATTTAATCCGTCAGCTTCACATACACCTCATCAATCTTTTGAGATTATTTAATCTTATCTTGCAATGAGGGTTGAATTATTATATGTGAAATAACTCTGATTGGCACATCAGAGGGACACACCACTTCTAATTTCCATTTCTCAAATTAATGCTTGTTCAAAAGTAATCAAACTAGCTACCATTCTCATAGAGTTTCTATAGCATCAAAAACCACATTTTCTCTATCGGGTTGACAAATTATATTAAAATAATAATCCTTAATCAGTTATAATCACCTTCTTTACCTCAAATTCAGAAAATATATTTCAAACTTTGGTTGACAATATAAATCTTACATTAAACAACTTACAAATAATTATGTTATATCTTCAATGTAAATACAATAAACCTCAATTCTAGATTATACGTAGGATAATTTTCTAACACGAGTTCAACTGCCTGGAAGCATAAGCTACCACTTTTCTATTATGTTGCAATATACATTGTAAACCCTTTAAAGATGCTTTAATATACACTTAAAATCTTCTAAACTCAAAAGAATAGTTAATATATGGGCTGACACCAAATACTCCTTCAACTTATGAAACCTCTCTTTACACTATGGTGTTTAGTTAAATGAAATGGAATTTTATGTTAACGCTTTTAGAGGGAGGCAACCTTTGACAAGCCTGTGACAAATTTCTTATAATAACTAGTCATGCCCAGAAAACTACAACATTTGTTATAGATGTTAGACTTTGCCAATCTATCACAACTTGCACCTACTGGGATATTCTATAATAATCCCTTCAATACTTATCATGAGTCTCAAAAAAGCTATAGAAGTTAGTCAAAATTTATATTTGGAAAATTTAGCATATAACTTCTACTGCCTAAAGATCTATATGGTCAACTTTAAATGAACTCTATGCTCTTCTTTAGATTTTAAATACATCAAGATATCATCAATGAGGATGATAATAAATTGATCCAGATATTCCCATAATACTCAATGCATCAAATACATGAAACTTAAGGTACATTCTTCATAACAAATGATATTATTAAAAACTCATACTTCCCATATCAGGAATTAAAGGCTATCTTTACCACATATTGAATCTTCACCCTTAATTGATGATATCCCAATCTTAGATCAATTTTAAAAAACATAATTGCACCTTCCAACTAGTAAAACATATCTTCTATTTTTTGAAGTGGATATTTATTCTTCACTATCACTTATTCAACTCCTGATAATTGATACACATACATAATGATCCATCTTTCTTTTCACGAACAACATAGAGGCTCCCCATAATGATCCACTCAGTGATGAATCCTCTATCCAACAACTCCTACAACTAAACCTTCAATTCTTGTAATTATCTAGGTGTCAACCTATAAGGAGCCTTTGATGTCAGATTCATGCCTGACAACACCTCAATATAGAGATCAACCTCCTTTTCTAGATGTATACTACAGAGCTCCTCAGAAAAATATTTGAAAACTCCCTTAATATAGGAACATTTTCAATACCCTTAATAGATTTGTTAAATCTCTTACATAAGTTGGTAATACAAAACTCCCCTTTCTATGAGCCTTATCCACTTGAAATATAAAAATTCGAAGAGGATAAGACACTTCTAACACACTGAAAATACAACCTCGCTGCCCACACATAAACTTGCATGCTTCTTACTACAATCAATCCAAGCTTGATACTTATTTAGCCAATCTATTTTAAATATAATATCAAATTATTTTAGAGGTAATACATTTACTTTTGATGCTAACTTTTTACAAGAAACCTTAATCTAACACACATAGAATTTGCTAATATGTATCAAATCTTATGCTGATATTTTAATAAATAATTCAAGAGATAATAGAGTAGGGGTTAAACTTAAATTATACAAAACATTATCATATATGAAAAAATGACTAGCACCAAAATAAAAAAGAATACCATAAGTTTGTTTAAAAATATATAACAAACTTATCTCCACATCCGGGTCCTCTATTTCCTCCTGTTGAGTCATACTGTAAACCCTAGGCTATATTGGAGGAGCATTATCAACTACCATATACTACCTCTATACCCCCTGACCTTCCGCTGAATTTGTTCCCACTTTGTGTCATCGATCCCTCAGTAACAACTCTAGATGAGGCTACTGCTAATGGCTGCCTCTAACTCCCTCCAACCTTAGATCTACCCTTAAGTGCCTTCTAAAGAAATAGGGCCACCTTGTGATCAGGCCTGACAAAACAAAAATATTGATATATATATAATGTAGAATCTACCATAATACCTCCAACCATAATATCTATATATCAGAATATTGAT